AATTTTTTTTTCAACGTTTATTTATTTCTGGGACAGAGAGAGACAGAGCATGAACGGGGGAGGGGCAGAGAGAGAGGGAGACACAGAATCGGAAACAGGCTCCAGGCTCCGAGCCATCAGCCCAGAGCCTGATGCGGGGCTCGAACTCACGGACCGTGAGATCGTGACCTGGCTGAAGTCGGACGCTAAGGTCGTGCGTCTTTTGCAGGAGTGATGCTATGTTCTCCTCCCTGCATCCTCGTGGGCGCACGATTTAGTTTGTCCCATTGCTGGTAACGTCGCTTTGATCACTTGGCCGAGGTGGTGACTCCTCGACTTCAGTGTGAAGTCACTCCTTTTCCTTATAATTAATAAGTGTTTTAGGGGAAGTGCTTTGAAACTCTGTACCTATCCCATTCCTTACCAGATTTTCAGTTTTTTGTTTCCCATTTGATTTAGTGAATTATACTCTTACTGTAATTGTTTATTTTGATATTAAAATTCTCTAGATTTGGCCACTCGGGGCCCATTCAGGCTGGCTGTTATGTCCTTTTTTCTGTGCTGCCATCATTTTTGGGGCACTTGTGCTTTTGAGCACAACAAGCTGTCCAGATTCATTTTGTAATCCCCTCACACAGCCGTGGAATCGGCCATTTCTCTGCGAGCCTGGTACTCTTTAGTGGAGAATGGTATTTAGAAGCCAAGGTGTAGTCTCTGGATATGCCCGTTGTTAATTGAGGAGTTGTGTTCCCCAGTCTGTCACTGGACAGCTCTAGGGCGCGCACGCACACACACACACACACACACACACACCCCTTTATTTCTGGGCCTGTGCGTACATACTGAAAACTGTGAGTTCGCATCCAATTCCAATCCAACACCACAGAATTCAGTCGCAGTTCCTCCATTTCTGTTTTTGTAACGTTTTCCTTTGATGGTGAGAAACTCGGCTCCTGTTGTTGTGGTATTTTTACTTATTTTCAGTCCTCTCGCCTGTAACCGACCTTCCCGTCAGTGTCTCATTTTTGCCACCCCCACATCCCCCTGTGCGGAGCCCTGAGTTCCCCATGCCAGGTGGGCCCCTGGTGTGGGTGCCCTCCTCACCCTGCCTGGGCCGCTCCCCTACGTAGATGCTCTGCCCACCTTGCTTCAGCTCTGGCTTTGCCCAGGCCATTTTTGGTCTTCTCCTCCTTCTGGGTCCATCCCTGCACATGCACTTAAGGCTTTAGGACTGAATTATTCAGGAAGGGAAGCAGAGGGGCAGGAGAGAGAAAGAGCCATCATCGCTTTTTAAAATCTCTATGATTTTTTTTTTTTTTTAGATTTTACAATAAAAATAACTATTTGCTCTAAATGAGGATGAACTGATCTATTAAAGGTAGAAGAGGAACTTTAGCTTCTTAATTTTGAGGAAAGGGTTTGTGGGTTGTTTTTGTTTTTGTTTTTGTTTTTCTAAATTTGCCTCAGGAATTTTGGCTGTAAGGTTACTGTATGTCCCATAGTAGTTGTGACACATAAAGAGGAATTTGGCTGTGAAATGGATTTTCATAAACTTTAGCCTGAAAAAACCACGCATGTTTAACCTAATGTGTGAAAATCTAATCAGTCAAGTTGTTGATTAACCGTCCACCTGTGATCTTTTCTACTCTTTTGTGGCTCCTGTAGCTGCCACTAGCAATCTGTTTCTTTGTCCTTCAGCCGTGACCTTTATGACCTCTATATGTAAAATTGAAGATAGAAACCATTCTGCAGTGGCATTACCTATTCTTTTGAGCTTTTTCTTTTCCTTTATTTTATAATTATTTTTTTTAATCATTTTTTTTTTAATTTTTTAACGTTTATTTATTTTTGAGACAGAGACAGAGCATGAACGGGGGAGGGGCAGAGAGAGAAGGAGACACAGAATCAGAAGCAGGCTCCAGGCTCTGAGCCATCAGCCCAGAGCCCGAGGTGGGGCTCGAACTCACGGACCGCGAGATCGTGACCTGAGCTGAAGTCGGACGCGCAACCGACTGAGCCACCCAGGCGCCTCTATTATTTTTTTTTAAAGAGAGAGAGGGAGAGGGGCAGAAGAAAGAGAGATTGAGAGAGGAAGAATGCAGATGAATCTTAATCAGGCTCTGTGCTCAGCTCACCTGGGAGCCTGATGATGGGCTTGACCCCACAACCATGAGATCATGACCTTAGCCAAAATCAAGAGTCAGATGCTCAACTGACTGAGCCACCCAGGCGCCATTGAGCTTTTTCTTTATTAAGAGGACCTATCAGTCATTCTCATGCAGAACTTTCATTCAAATTACAATTTTTTTCTATATATTTCTAAGCTCTTTTATGGCAGGCTTTTACCAGCTATGTGAAAAGGCATTAAGTACCTGTGAAGGAAGAGAAGTGGATTAGAGAGATGTATATCCTGAAAATACAGCAATTTCTCCATAATTACAAAAGAGATGCATGCTGGTTGTAGAAAATTGGGAACAGTACCGAAAATGTGAAGGGGAAAATCTATCCCCTGTGGTCCTGTTCAGAAAGAGCCACTGCTGACATTTCAGTCTGTTATTCTTTTAGTGCTTGTTCTGGGTGTTCGATTTGGCAACTTCTTCTCCGGTTCTAGGATTTGTGTGTTCTGATCCCTTAGTGTCATTACCGACCCCAGAGCTTATTTCTGGCCATTTTCCCCTTGTCGGTCTGGTTTCTAGATGCGATGCTGGACTCCGGCGATTTCACTGGGTTTTATGATTTGTATTTCGTGTTGTGAACTGTCCCTGTGCCTTCTTACGCCCGAGGTGGTTGACATGGTACTATTGTTAAAATTGTTATGGAATCTTCGAGGTCAGGTGTACTATAAATGCCGTTTCTTTCTTCCCCTTGTTTTGTTTCTTCAATTACTTATTTTGAAATAATTTCAGTTTACAGAAAAGTTGCCAGAAGAGAACAGAGACTTGTCATATCCCTTCACCCACATTTCCCTGTCGTTAACAGGTTCCCACATTTGCTCTGTCACCCGTGTGCTCTCTCTGTGAGTCTCTTCCCGTTTTCTCTAGGCTCTTTGCACACTTTCTACAAGGAAGCCATAGACTCTGTCACCCCCGGGGTCACTCCAGTGCGGGTACCCCCAAGCAAGGACACTCTTCCACAACCACGGAGGGCCCCTCCGAAAGAGGGAAAGAGCACGGGTGTAGCTCTTTTGAACACTCCGAACTTGCCATGCCCACCTCCCAGCAGTTTGCCTTTCTTCCTTCCTGATCCAGCACCTTCCCTGGGTCTGTAGTCGCGTCTGGAACAGGCTGACCCCATCCCTCTGGGCCACTTGATGTTTTCGTCACCACCAGACTCAGGCCATATGTTCTTGGCAGAGACACCTTGGAAGTGATGCTCTGGCCATCTCAGCGCATCTCGTCAGGTGCGGGCCTGTAACGTCGACCTGGTCACGTGGCCGTCTGCCGGGTTCCTCCGCTTTCATGGCATCGTGTTGCCTTTTGTGATTGATTAGTAGCTTGGAGGGAGGTATTCCAAGTGGTGCTAGTGTCCCAATCACCAGCCTGCCCACCACCTGTAGCGACCATTGACGGCCCTCGAATCTGCCACCTCCGTCATGGTTGCCACGTGGTAACCATGTGGGTTCTCGATTTCCATCATTCCTTCTGTACTTACTAGCGATTCCACGGAAGGTAGCGCTTCCCCCCTCTCGCATCCATGGACTCATGGCTTCCCATTGTATTTAATGACTTGTAATCTGTCACACTCAGTGTTTATTTGGATGCCCAAATTGTCCCTGATTCAGCTACAGAAGGTCCCTTCACACATGTTCCTGTGTCGTTTGGCCTGTCGGTAGCGTTCACTGAGCATTCCCTTACTTTCTGGCAGCACAACACATTCCAGCTTCATCTTGGGCTTTCGGTGCCTGGCCTGGACCCAGCCATTTCTCCAAGGACCCCTGGTTCCTTTTAGTGGACGGTGTTTACAAAGGTCTGGGTGCTTGAGTGCTCACCGCGTACGGGAGTGTCGTTGTTTCTGGGCCCTTCCAGCGGTAGCATCTGTGTGTGCACACACGCACACGCACACACACCCGCACATGTCCGCACGCACAGCTGTAACCGCCTCTGTGGCTCCCTGTGCTTATATTTTATAAAGCTATGTGTTGCAACTATAACTTAAAATTCCGATCAGTTCTTTCTAGACTTAACCTTTTTCCAGCTCTTTTCTGACAAGTGAGAAATCTGGCTCCCCTTATCCTCAACGTATTTCATGAATCGCTCAGTTTACTTATTTATTCAGTGTAACTGGTCTCCTAACCACATCAACCATCTCCTGCAACCCCCTGGCCACCCTTTGTCCTTGCCTTGGGACCCACCTGCCTGGGCTTCTCTGAGGCTCCCCAGCCTGTTCCCCCGCCTCCTGTGGCCCAGGGCTCGATTCTTAGACTGCTTCTCTCCTCTCTCTGCCCCTAGGGATCCTGTATAATTTCACAGCTTTAAATACTGCCTCCCAAATGTATATCTAGAACTTGGACCTCTCTTCTCAAAAACAGACTTTTCTGTATAACTGGCTACTCTGTGTCTCTTTTAAAAATCTGAAAGACCTTTCCACCGGGTGCCTAAAACTGGACCTCCCGATCTTTCCTCTCCTACCTGCCCTGCCAGGCATGCCCATCTCGGTAGGGGGCTACTCAGTCCTTCCGACTGCTCAGGCCCAGAGCCTTGGGGGTCGTCCTGACTCTTCTCTTTTTCCTCACACCTCATGATTAATCCTGTAGCGGAGTGATTGGCCATGTCTTTTGAATAGGAAGAGACTCTGGCCTTTCTCGTCACCTCCACCCTGCTCCGCACCTCAGGTACATCCATTCTGCAGGAGCCTCTGTCCTGAGCTCCTGCCCCGGCCACTGCCCTGCTGTGCTCCCTCCTCCCAGCATCCAGAACAATCCCCATAAGATCACGTCACTCCTCTACTTAAAACCTTCCAGTGGCTTCCTGTCTCACTTGGCAAAACACCCAGAGCCTTGCAGTGTCACCTCTTGTGGTCTCGTCACATGTCTGACCTGTCCACGCCCCTTCCGTGTATGGCCTTGCCTTCCCTGCTCCTGCTTCTCTATGAGCTCTCCTGGGCCTCGGGAGGTCCTTCCCTCAGTGGCCGCACGGCTCCCTCCCTTCCTTCACGCCTTTAAGCTCCAACGCTCTTCTCAGGGAGGCCTTCCCTGGTCACCCTATTTAAAATCACCACCCCAGCCTCCCCTCCCTTCTCCTCTTCCAGCTCTGTTTTCTTTACAGCACTTAACGACCATTTGGTATGCTGTGTCTTTCTTTGTGTCCCTCGCTGCCAACTTGACTACGAGCTCCCCAGCCCTCCCAGGTCAGGGATTTTTGTCTCTTTTGTTCAGTTCTATATTCCTAGCACCTAGAACAGTGCCTGGGAAGTAGGCCAAAAACCTATCCAGTTTTACGTCTAGAATATTTGTAAATATAGTCAATTCTCAGTATTTACGGTAGCTCTGTAGGGTCTCCACGAACACATGAATGAATGACACTGAACCACCGTCCTAGCAGAAATGCAGCCTTAGGTTTCTGTGAGCCTCTGGTCACATTTTGTCCACCAGCCAATAATAACCTTGTTTTATGTGTGTTGCTATTTAGTGTGTATTATTGATTCATTGAACACTGAACTCTGCTAGCAGCACTATGAGTTACGCCTGAAGGAACCTTATCTAACCCACGCATTTTCTCTGTCTTCACTGCCTTCTTGGGCTCAGGAACGCTAGCTAGCACGTCAGCATTCTGCCTGAGGACCGTTTTAGATAGTGAAACCTGCAACAAAGAGCACAAATCTGAAAGACATGATCCTAACCAAACCATGAAAAGGACCCTTGTGTACAGGATGAGAGGGAACAAGAAGGCAGAGAGCCGCCCTGTTTGACCTCAGCTGGAGTACGCACACCGAGTGGCTCCAACTTCGGGCTGCTCTGCGGTGTCTATAAATGGCCAAAGCCATGGCCCGTACTGCTCTCAGGGTCATGAATACCGCGTGGCCAGTTTGGGTGAAGTGTGGTGACGGAGTCTGCAGAGGCCAGGATGGCTGCATCTGCTACAGGAATGAACCAATGCACTTTTCAACAGAGTTTTTGCTGCCAGGGTTTTCAGAGATCTGGACACAGGAGTAACAGTGATCCCGGTTTATTCTTTTAGGGAGAAGTCATAAAGTGGTATGTGTTTTTAATATCCTTTTGGGGAGAGCAGATTGGCCACAAGGTTAAGAAGATATGTGATTGGTAAGAACACGAAACATTTCATTTGATGTGTTTCTTTGTATTCAGTAGTCTCTAGTTTTCCTTAAAAAACCCCTCCGTGTTTGAAGGGAAATACGGTGAGTGCAAAGCCTGTTGCGTTCTGTTATGTATCTTTGCTGTAATACCGTGTTTGTTTGTTTATTTATTTTGAGAGAGAGAGCACGTGCTCATGAGCAGGAGGAGGGGTAGAGAGAGGAGACCATCCCAAGCAGCCTCCATGCTGTCCACACAGAGCCCGACGTGGGGCTTGATCTCACAAACTGTGAGATAGATCCATGACCTGAGCCGAAATCAGGAGTCAAGACGCTCAACTGATGGAGCCACCCAAGTGCCCCTGTGATACCATGTTTTTAAACATTCAATTCGTCACCTTTTGTCAGCGTTACGCTTAAAATAATTGAGAAGTAGAGATCATGTTTAATAACATTCTTAGATTTTATTTTCTCTTTGGGAATCAGGGCTTAAGGATAATCCAAGAAGGAGTCACGTTTTAGTATTTTGTGCCTTCCTGTGGCTTTGAGCTCTGCAGAGGCCCGTGTGTCATCACTGAGCGTATGGTTCCTCTTTTGCTCGGTGTTTGACAGGTTTCTCTGCACTGTGGGGGAGGAGGCCCGGTGAGTGGTGAGGACTGAGTGGCTTCACCGCCCACGCCCAGGGCGGGCTGGGTAAGTCACCACGTCCAGGCTCCCTCCCTGTAAGAGGGAGCGGCACTTTCCTCCCTCCCTGGGCTTCGGGACTGAGGCCACACAGGCAAGACACTCCCGTGCAGCGTCGGCCACCGCCACGCGCTAAGGAGTGTCACAACGGAAATCTCTCTGTGACTTGTTCTCATCAACAGTGGAAAAATAGGAAAAGCCAAACAAAAAAGTCAAAAGAATGCCCTTTGTTTTTAGATGGCTTATTTCCCGTGGGGGTGAGGCTGGGGCTTGGTATTTCCTTTATAAAGTGTTTCCCAGAGTCGGATACTCTGTCACCGGTGATACGGAAAGTAATTTTAAGTGTTACATGGACAAACCTGTTGTTAATTTCATAGATGTTTATTCAGTGTACATTAGAAAAACTGTCACCAGCACACAAGCCCATGATTTCACACACAGTGTTGCTTAGGATAAGGCTAGAGTGAGTATTTAATTTTAATAGTCAGAACTTACAATCTGCCACTTAAGTGTGGCAGGAAGGTGTCAAGGCAGAAGGGAGAGTGCAGTAGGGAGGCACACCTCGTGTGTTTCGGGTGCCACGCAGCCCCCCAAGAAGACGGGCCCTGGGAGGCGAGGGAGGGGCTCCCTGCACCCACCACGTGTCCAAAGCAGTTGCTAGGACACCGGAGCTTTTTTTTTTTCTCCCCTTCCCTTTATTTTCTCTTTCTTTTAAAAGTAATGACCGTTGTGTGTTCAAACCTGTTTAATGAATTCCCAGCCCAAGGATTGGGGTGGATTTCAGAAAGTTGGAATGGGGAGCAAGCTCCGGGAACGATCGGGGCAGGGAGGGAACACGGAACCAAGAGAGAGCGTGCTAAATGTGTTGAAGCCCGTAGACATTTGTCGAATGTCTCCGTGTACAAGGCCTCAGTGCGGGCAGGTGCCTGTGTCTGACCTTTCTCTCCCAGAAGGCTGCTTTTGTTCCTTTCTGGGGGGAGATGTGCCCACGTGGTGCACTGAATTCGGTTCTAGTGTTTGCTGTCGCCTCTCCTGGTCCTGACGGGCTTGAGACTGTTGCATTCTGTCTTGTAGTTACCACTGCCACGTTTACCCCTACCCGAATACAGCTGAGGAGCGGAAGGAGATTCAGGAGGGGCTCAATACCCGGATTCAGGATCTCTACACTGTGAGTAAACCGTTGCCTCCTTACCTGAGGTGTGTAAAACATTTACAGGTCCATTTACCTTGTTTTTCCATGTGGAAACTTTTGGTTGTGGACAAATCAAGATGTTCTTGGGAGATTGGAAAGTGACTCACCTCGCTCCTCTTCGTGGAAGTTTTATTTTAGCCACCTGTGAGAAATCTAGGTGGTGATGGTGGGACTTTAGAGAAGATCCTCTGGTCATCGCAGGAGACAGGCGACCCGTTTAAAGTGGTGGCTGTCATTTTTTTGCCTTCACTACTTCAATGACCGTTCCTCCTTGTATCAGCGAGGGCTCTGGGCGGCAAGAAGTGGGCTCCCACCCACCTAAGCAAAAGGGGGTTTCAGGCCCGAATGTGACACGGTGGAGTTGGTGGCTCTCGGGGCTGACCGGGCACTGAGCCGAGACTGGGAATGAATGGGTAGGATGGGAGCTCCGTGGGCCCAGCCAGGCCGCCGTGCTGGCACCCAGATGGTAACACCCAGCCACCTCCTGTGCCCTGGGGGCTGTGTCCTGGAGGGGCAGCTCCCGAGAGAGCATCCGATCGGCTGGGCTGCTTTCCGCCCGCCGCCTGGTGGTCCTGGCGTCCGGGAAGACACGGAATGAGCCCAGGAGGGGCCGGTGCCGGGGACAAAAGCTGGGAAAGCCTGTGTTTGTTCCCACGCAGGTGCTCCACAAAACCGAGGATTATTTAAGGCAAGTGCTGTGTAAAGCCGCCGAATCCGTCTACAGCCACGTCATCCAGGTGAAGAAGATGAAAGCCATTTACCACATGCTGAACATGTGCAGCTTCGACGTGACCAACAAGTGCCTCATCGCCGAAGTCTGGTGTCCTGAGGCTGATCTGCACGAGCTGCGCCGGGCGCTCGAGGAGGGGTCGGTAAGGCGGCCGGGACCAGATGGAGGGACCGGGGCTGCTCTGGGGACGCCTGAGAACCCGGGAGACGCCAAGGAGCGTGGGAGTGTCTGGGAGCGGGGAGAGGGCTGTGCTGACTCCTGTCCTGGACCGATGCCCCGGAGAGCGTGTCATCCGAGGGCGTGTGCGTGCGCACGCGGCTTTCATTGGCTCTTCTGGTCGTGTGGTTAGAGAAGTAAAACATACATATAACAGAAGAGACGCAGTGAAGTGGCTTCCTCCTACCCTGTCACCTCAGAGACAAGGGCTGTTTTCTGCTGGGTCTTTGGGTTTCTTAACTGAAGGGTAAGCACGTACGAATGGATATCTTCTTGCTTTCACGGAAGGTTGCTGGTTATTCATTCTGTTCTTTTCACTTAATAGAACTTCCCTACTTTTTATACTATTTAATACTTTGCTCTACGGATGTGCCATGGCCTGGGGACCTGGCTGCCTACTCATTTAGGCGGCGTGGTGCCTGATGTGACCAGTACCACCGTGGCAACCGCCACTTGGCCGTGGCGGTTCACACACACAGATCTGTCAGAGGAGAGGCCCAGATATGGAATTGCTGGGTCAGTTTTGATGGATGGTATCAGCTACTGCGTTTCTCTTACTTTGAATGAGGTTAAAAGTTTTTTATCAGGAGCTCCTGGGTGGCTCGGTCGGTTAAGCGTCCGACTTCGGCTCAGGTCAGGACCTCATAGTCTGTGAGTTCAAGCCCCGCATCGGGCTCTGTGCTGACGGCTCAGAGCCTGGAGCCTGCTTCGGATTCTGTGTCTCCCTCTCTGCCTCTCCTCTGCTTGTGCTCTGTCTCTCTCTTAAAAACAAATGAACATTAAAAAAAATTGCCACAACCCAAAACCTCTGGGACGCAGCAAAGGCGGTCATAAGAGGAAAGTATATAGCAATCCAGGCCTTCCTAAAGAAGGAAGAAAGATCTCAGATACACAACCTAACCTTACGCCTTAAGGAGCTGGAAGAAGAACAGCAAATAAAACCCCAAACCAGCAGAAGACAGGAAATAATAAAGATTAGAGCAGAAATTAATGCTATTGAAACCAAAAAAAACCAGTAGAACAGATCAGTGAAACCAGAAGCTTGTTCTTTGAAAGAATTAACAAAATTGATAGACCAGTAGCCAGTTTGATCAAAAAGAAAAAGGAAAGGACCCAAATAAATAAAATCAAGAATGAAAGAGGAGAGATCACAACCAACACAACAGAAATAAAAACAATAATAAGAGAATATTATGAGCAATTATATGCCAATAAAATGGGCAATCTGGAAGAAACGGACAAATTCCTAGAAACATATACACTACCAAAACTGAAACAGGAAGAAATAGAAACTTTGAACAGACCCATAACCAGTAAAGAAATCAAATTAGTAATCAAAAATCTGCCAAAAAATGAGTCCAGGGCCAGATGGCTTTCCAGGGGAATTCTACCAAACATTTAAGGAAGCGTTAACACCTATTCTCTTGAAACTGTTCCAAAAAATAGAAATGGAAGGAAAACTTCCAAACTCTTTCTATGAAGCCAGCATTACCTTGATTCCAAAGCCAGGCAGAGACCCCACTAAAAAGGAGAACTAGAGACCAATTTTCCTGATGAACATGGGTGCAGAAATCCTCAACAAGATAATAGCCAACTGGATCCAACAATACATTAAAAAAATTCTTTGCCACGACCAAGCGGGATTTATACCTGGGATTCAGGGCTGTTTAAATTTCCGCAAAACAATTAATGTGATTCAACACATCAATAAAAGAAAGGACAAGAACCATAATGATCCTCTTAATAGATGCAGAGAAAGCATTTGACAAAATATAGCATCATTTCTTGATAAAAAACCCTCAAGAAAGTAGGGATAGAAGGAGCATACCTCGAGATCATAAAAGCCATATATGAACGACCCAATGCTAATATCCTCCTCAATGGGGAAAAACTGAGAGCTTTCCCCTAAGGTCAGGAACGAGCCAGGGATGTCCACTCTCGCCACTGTTATTCAACATAGTATTGGAAGTCTTAGCCTCTGCAATCAGACAACACAAAGAAATAAAAGGCATCCAGATTGTCCAGGAGGAGGTCAAACTTTCACTCTTTGCAGATGACATGATACTCTATATGGAAAACCCAAAAGATTCCACAAAAAACTGCTAGTGTTGATTCATGAATTCAGCAAAGTTGCAGGATATAAAATCAACGCACAGAAATCGGTTGCATTCCTACACCAACAATGAAGCGACAGAGAAATCAAGGAATCGATCCCATTTACAGTTGCACAAAAAGCCATAAAATACCTAGGAATAAATCTAACCGAAGAGGTGAAAAATCTGTACACTGAAAACTATAGAAAGCTTCTGAAAGAAATTGAAGAAGACACACACAAAAAAGGAAAAATATTCCATGCTCCCAGATAGGAAGAACAAATATTGCTAAAATGTCGATACTACCCAAAGCAATCTACATATTCAATGCAATCCCTATCAAAGTAACACCAGCATTCTTCACAGAGCTAGAACAAATAATTCTAAAATTTGTATGGAATCAGAAAAGACCCCGAATAGCCAAAACAATCTGAAAAAGAAAACCAAAGCAGGAGGCATCACAATCCCAGACTTCAAGCTATACTCCAAGCTGTAATCATCAAGACGGCGTGGTACTGGCACAAGAACAGACACTCCGATCGATGCAACAGAATAGAGAACCCAGAAATGGGCCCACAAACGTATGGCCAACTAGTCTTTGACAAAGCAAATCTTCGACTAATCTTTGACAAAGCAACTAATCTTTGACAAAGAATACCCAATGGAATAAAGACAGTCTCTTCAGCAAGTGGTGCTGGGAAAACTGGACAGCGACATGCAGAAGAATGAACCTGGACCACTTTCTGACACCAGACACAAAAACAAACTCAAAATGGATGAAAGACCTCAATGTAAGACAGGAAGCCATCAAAATCCTCGAGGAGAAAGCAGGCAAAAACCTCTTTGATCTTGGCCGCAGCACCTCTCACTCAACACGTCTCCGGAGGCAAGGGAAACAAAAGCAAAAATGAACTACTGGGACCTCATCAAAATAAAAAGCTTCTGCACGGCGAAGGAAACAGTCAGCAAAACTAAAAGGCAACCGACAGGATGGGAGAAGATATTTGCAAATGACATCTCTGATAAAGGGTTAGTATCCAAAATCTATAAAGAACTTCTCAAACTCCACACCCAAAAAACAAATAATCCAGTGAAGAACTGGGCAAAAGACACGAATAGACGCTTCTCCAAAGAAGACATCTAGATGGCCAACCGACACATGAAAAAATGCTCGACGTCACTCAACATGTGGGAAAGACAAGTCCAAACCACCATGAGATGCCACCTCCCACCTGCCAGAATGGCTCCCATTGACGACTCAGGCAACGACAGATGTTGGCGAGGATGCGGGGAAAGAGGATCTCTTTTGCACTGTTGGCGGGAAGGCAAGCTGGTGCAGCCACTCTGGAAAACAGGATGGAGGTTCCTCAAAAAACTAAAAATAGAACTACCCTAGGACCCAGCAATTGCACTACTTAGGCATTTATCCAAGGGATACAGGTGTGCTGTTTCGAAGGGGCACATGCACCCCAATGTTTATAGCAGCGCTATCGACAACAGCCAACGTAGGGAAAGAGCCCCAATGTCCATTGATGGATGAATGGATAAAGAAGATGTGGTATACACACACACACACACACACACACACACACTGGAGTATTAGCAATCAAAAAGAATGAAATCTTTTTGCCATTTGCAACTACGTGGATGGAACTGGAGGGTATTATGCTAAGTGAAATGAGTCAGAGAAAGATAAAAATCATATGACTTCATTCATATGAGGACTTTTAAGAGACAAAACAGATGAACATAAGGGAAGAGAAACGAAAATAATATAAAAACAAGGAGGGGGACAAAACAGAAGAGACTCATAAATATGGAGAACAAACTGAGGGTTACTGCAGGGGTTGTGGGAGGGGGGATGGGCTAAATGGGTAAGGGGCACTAAGGAATCTACTCCTGAAATCATTGTTGCACTATATGCTAACTAATTTGGATGTACATTTAAAAAAAAAAATTAAAATTAAAAGAAAATCTTTAAGAGCCATTTGAATTTTCCTTTTTTAATGAGCTCTGTGTTTTTCTGCTTTGCCCATTTTCTTTTTATTATTTTTATTATTTTTTTTTAACGTTTATTTATTTTTGAGACAGAGACAGAGCATAAACGGGGGAGGGTCAGAGAGAGAGGGAGACACAGAATCTGAAACAGGCTCCCGGCTCTGAGCTGTCAGCGCAGAGCCTGACGTGGGGCTCGAACTCACAGACCGCGAGATCATGACCTCAGCCAAAGTCAGACGCCCAACGGACTAAGCCACCCAAGCGCCCCCCCCTTTTTTTAATTATTATTATTTTTCGCTTTGCCCATTTTCTACTGGTTTGTTGGTTTTTTTCTTACTAATTTCTGTTGGCTCTTTGTGACATGAGAAAAAATATTGTCCTCAATTTGCCACTCGTCTTCTGATGTTTCTGTTTGTTGGCTTGCTTTGGTCATGCAGTAGTTTTTTGTTAAATATAGTTGAACTTATCAATTCGCTTGTATGGCTTCTGAACTTTGAAGAGTAGGCTCTAGCGCCTGACTCCCGGGCCATGGTGTCAGTCTGCCATGTTCCTGTGAGGTTTTTTTTTTTCCTGCATCAAAACCCAGTTCTTCATTAGAAATAGTAGGTTTACAAGTTTCAAGTGACAGCTAAGGAAGCAAGTTTTCATATGAGGTTTTTTTGGTTAGTCACGTTTCGTCACATAATTCTTTGACGGCACAAATGGACTTTTACTTTTTTTTTGGAAGAGGGCTGGCTTGCGTAGACATGACCAGCCAATTACCACATTTCCTCGTTGCTGAAAACCAGACAGTCACCCTGCATCACATGTACCTGTGGGTTGGCTGATGTCTAGACCATGCCTTTTGCTGCCACTGGGAGGGAGTTTGCTGGGGACATCAGCAGTTCTGGTGCTTCCATTGTCTCTGGGTGCTGTAGCCGCTCTGGCTGTCTGAAGTGTGTTCTCCGAGTCCTGAGCAGGGCCTCGTGGGAACAGTGCTCCCTGAGTTCTCCCGTGTTCGTAGTAGTGTATGCCTCCTGCCTTTATAATCGGAAGTTTGTTGTTTGGAAATAAAATCCTGGGCTCGTGTTTTAAAATTTTTGTTGTTGTTTTCCATGGGTGTCTTAAACATGTGATTCCATTTTGTTCTGGCATGGCGTTGCTAACAAAAAAGCCTGATATTAATAGAATTTTCCTTATAAGTCTTGGTACTTTCTTTTTTTTTTTTTGCCCACACGCTTAAGGATTTTTTTCAGTGATTTTACTAGACTGTGTGTTGATTCTGTTATTCCGGGTTGGTATTTTCAGATATACGGTGTGTTCTCTCAATATGTAGTTTTAAAAAAAGTTTCAGAAAAATTCTCAACTATAGTTTTTAGTATTTGTTCTGTTCTCTTGCTCTGGTTTTCTCCTTCGGGACCTGCTGTTCTGTTTAAGTTAAACCTTCTTATCGTCAGTGTTTGTCACTTTTCCTTGAATCCTTTTTGTCTTTCTTTACTTTTTGATTTTTAAAAATTTCCATTCTTTTGTCTGTTTCTCTTGCAGCATTATTACTAGGAAGGTGTCTTCACCTTGGAGTTTTTTCTAGTTTTGTCCCGTTTCTGCATATTTTTTTCTTTTTCTTCTAATACTTTTCTGAGTTCTGTCACCTCATTTCAGACTCTTATTCTGCTTTGTGGGTTTTTTTTTCATATCAGGTATTATTTTTGTAATGTTTCTGCTCACTTTGATATAGTAAGTTAAATTGTCATCTCTTCTGTGAGTATGTCTTTCTGGCATGCTTTCATTGTTCAGAGGGATGTTCTGCTCAGTTTTTTTTTTTTTTTTTTTAACTACAACTTTATATAAAAGTCTGACCTGCATTCTTCTTTTGATCACTTTTAAATGAAATTAGTTTTCTGAAACGTGTTTAAATATTCAAGGAAATTCTGTTAGACATAACGTATGTTCATACATAAGAATATACGTTTGAGATACTAAAGGGAACTCTATGTTACATATAATGTAAATACATCGTCTGTTTGTATATTAGCTCTGCAGAACCTGTTTAAGATACTCAAGGGGGGCACCTGGGCGGCTCAGTCGGTTAAGCGTCCGAATCTTCATCTCAGCTCAGGTCATGATCTCCCGGTTCCCGGGATCAAGCCCTCATGGGGATTGACGATTATTCTTGTCTATTTTTCGGTTTTATTAGATACTGTAGTTGTCTCCAGATTCCTCTTGAATGTTTTTATGAGGCATAATATTAAATTTCAGTTTTATGTTCGTGATTCTGAGACCACGTCATCCACCTGTCCCTGTCATCCCTAGCCCCTCCGTCCGCTTTCCCGTCCTTGCAGCCTGGCCACCATACTCTTCTGCAGGACTGCAGCCCCCCGGCGCCACCCCCCCGACTCCTGCTGTCACCCCCTCTGCCCGTGAGCCTCCGAGGGTGGTTGGCACTTGTCCGCGTGGCCACGCAGAGCCTCGCCGTAGCAGGGAGCCCGTGGTCGTGGAACGGGATTTTGGGTACTAATTTTTCCTTTCTTTCTTTTTATGTGAAAGAGAGAGAGCGGTGCTACAATCCCCTCATTTATGAACACCATCCCAACAAAAGAAACCCCCCCGACTCTAATCCGCACCAACAAATTCACCGAGGGCTTTCAGAACATTGTGGACGCCTATGGAGTCGGGAGCTACAGAGAAGTGAACCCAGGTGGGCGGTGTGACCTCGTCCATCCTCCTGCCTCGTGCGCCACTGCCGCTGCCTCTCCCCACGACGCTGTGACAGGCGTTGGGGAAACAGGCTCGCTGCTGCTGTTGTGTCGTTGTCCTGAGTGTAAAATGCTCCCTTGAACCTGTCTGTTCTCTTTTGAGAATTCTGGAGAAGGTCGGGTGTTGGAATTAACTAGAATTTTCTGCCTCCGGTGAGTCAAGCGTCTTGCTCTCCCCGCAGCTCTCTTCACCATCATCACTTTCCCCTTTCTGTTCGCCGTGATGTTCGGAGACTTCGGACATGGCTTCGTGATGTTCTTGTTTGCCCTCTTGCTGGTGTTAAATGAAAACCACCCCAGACTAAATCAGTCACAAGAGGTGAGACTACAAACACCGCAGCTCCTCACGTCTGGTTGGGTAGTTAGCAGGGATGATCTTAAATGTCAGTTTTTGGCAGTAAGCGTCACTGTAGGACGGAGCCGTAAGGGGTGCGGGCCTGTGGTCTCTGTGTGACGGTGACGCCCCCCACGCCAGCCCTCTGAGAAGTCCCAGGCCCACGTGGGTCCCGCTCCTGCGATTTCGCGCGGTCCCCCTCTGCTCACCTGCCCTGCTTTTCACAGATCATGCGCATGTTTTTCAATGGCCGATACATCCTCCTGCTGATGGGGCTGTTCTCCGTGTACACGGGCCTCATCTACAACGACTGCTTTTCAAAGTCGGTCAACCTGTTCGGCTCTGGGTGGAGCGTGTCAGCCATGTACAGTTCCAGCCACACCCCTGCGGAGCAGAAGAAGATGGGGCTCTGGAAGTAAGTGTGTGTTACCCAGCGGTGTTTTAGGTCGGAAAGCGCTTCTCGGAGGTTCCTCCGGCCTCCGCTAGGTCAGTCTGCTCACTCTGCTTTCTGTTACAGTGACAGCGTCGTCAGGCACAACAGGGTTTTGCAGTTGGACCCGAGCATTCCTGGAGTGTTCCAAGGCCCTTACCCTCTTGGTATCGATCCCGTGAGTGTACCTGTTCCTCGCCATGATCTCCGCTCCCTCTGTGGTGCACCTGGTTTTAATTGTCCGAGTGCTTCCTCAGAAGGTTCCCCGGGTTGCAGACGGTGGGGAAGGTACCCTGGGGGGTTTCTGCCTGGGCGGCCGTGGCCCATGTGCATCCCCAGTCAAGTTGGTTTAGAGATGAAGCTGAGCTGTCCGTGTGGGAGCCCGGGTCAGTGCCCAGTGGGAGGAGTCCGTCCAGAGAGGTGGGGCCGCACGCCGTCGGGGTTCCTGACCTCGAGGGAGAAATGGCATTTCAGGAGCCTTTAAGTGGAGGCAGCTTCCTAAGTTTCTTTTTTCTTTGTGGAAATTTTTGTTTTTTTACCCTGTGATCTAGAAAGAAATAATAGGAATTTTAGAGCTGAAAGGGAGCTTCAGGTTCTCAGGGTGCTTATTGAGGTAGTTGTTTGAAATGGGAAGTGTTTGGAGAAGGAAAAGAAAGACGCAGCTGCAGGGGCCCGGGACTGCCGCCCCCACCCCATGCCCCACAGGGCTCAGCAGGCACGCCTCACCGGGCTCCCGCCAGGCTCCCTCCAGGGCCCCCCCCAGGCCCATGCCAGGCCGCCACCAGGCTCCTCCCAGGCTCCCACCCGGTGCCCAGGCCCCCAGCAGGCTACCTCCAGGCTGAAGGACCATTTTTCTGGACTGTTGGCCGTCTTCTGGGAGAATCTCATCCTAGAAAGGGGAGCTTAGAAACCAACTCAAAATCGGTCTGGGGGGTGTGAGCTATAATCGTGTGCAGAATTGAAAAAACTGAAGAGAAAGGTCCGGCACCTTCATCGGAGCTTTCCAAGCCAGTGCCCTCCTAACCGGTCTGTTCATTCTCGCCTCTAAATGTAATTTGTGTAATTCAGCCTTGTTGCCTTGCATCTTCATATAACTGGAAACTTGAAAAAACTTTCATAACAATTTCTTTAAGGTACAGCATTTTGGAGCCAGGTTCCTAATAATGTGTGGCCTTGCTTTAAGGAGACAAACATTTCTGAATATAGGCTCCAAGGAAGAAAGTTTAGGAGGGCGTTTTGTGGGGGGAGGAAGAGACTAGGGCACGGTACTGCCTCGTTTCGCTTTGATTTAATTTTAAAAACCGGCACCACGCTCATATGGTTAAAAGATAGATCCATGTGCGTAGGCAAGGTCCAGCTCTTGCGAAGGTCTCCTCTGTCCAGTCCTTATTTCCTCAGTTTCCCGACCCGGGAACGGCTGGAGGTAGTTTTAGCGTCTCCTGCCAAGTTTCTTTATGAACTTTTAAATCTATCTTCTTATTCTCCCCTGTTTTTGCCTAAAAGTTGTTCTGTACCCAGTTGCTTTAGGCTTAGTGATGAAAGATAGACTTACATGTCGCTGGCGAGGTGTCGCGTTGTTGCCGGCTTTCCTCCTCTCCCGCCCCTGCTTCCCCCGAGGAGGGCGCCGTCAGTGGGCTTTTTCCCGTGGGTCCAGGCAGTCAAGCTGAAGTCAGCCTAAATACCTCTTTCTAGAACCTTCTTCTCACTTAAAAGGAACTAATAGGCCCTGTTTCCCTTTTCCTAATCCCCCGAGTGAGGGACTGTAGGAATTAATTTTTCAGAGAGAGAAGAGAGAAGAGAGGTAATCAGCGGCGGGGGCCTGGAGGGGCTGGTCAGGGAGCCCCGGGGGGTTGAGCCTGGGTGCCCTGGGTCTCATCAGCAGTTTGGCCACTTGCTGCACTGACGCTTCCTCCCTCCCTTCCTGTTAAACTTTATTATAGAACGCACACGCACAAGGATGTATAAAACCTGTCTGTGAAGTCCTAACACACATAGTTGTACGGGCCCCCACCCCCACCCCCCAGGGTAAGTGACCCCGGGACCTGGAATGCGCCCCTGGCCGCACCGGCCCTCCCCAGAGGGAACTTGCCGCCCCGCTGACTCTGTGTGACTCTTCCCCTGCTCTTCCTCTCGGTCTCGCCTCACAAGCCACTTCCCTAAACACAGTGTGGTTTCGTTTGGCATCCTTTGCATTTCATATTAAAGATGGGATTGTTGGTAACAGTCTGGTCCTGGTTTCAGGAAATCAGTGGTTCTCAGATCACAGGCGTCAAGGAGGAAGTCTGAATGTTGCTTTCCTTTTAAATCTGTAGCTGCCTTCCTATGTCTGGTGTCACCTGTGTGTCCTGAAGCAGTTGAAGGAAGTTAAAGATGTCTTGTTTTGTTTTGTCTTCAGATTTGGAACTTGGCCACAAATCGCCTCACTTTCCTAAACTCTTTCAAAATGAAAATGTCTGTGATTTTAGGAATTATTCACATGACTTTTGGAGTCATTCTGGGAATATTTAACCACTTGTAAGTACAGATTTTTTAAAAGTTTTTTTAATGTTTATTTATTTTTGAGGGAGAGAGAGAGGGAGAGAGAGACAGAGTATGAGCGAGGAAGGGGCAGATAGGGAGACAGAATCTGAAGCAGGCTCCAGGCTTTGAGCTGTTCGCACAGAGCCCGACGCAGTGCTCGAACCCATGAACTGCAAGACCATGACCTGAACTGAGGTCGGATGCCCAACCGACTGAGCCACCCAGGTGCCCCCAGATTTTTTTTTTAAAGCAGTATTTATAAGCCAAGTTTGGTATTCTTAAACTTTGCCTCTTGAGGGTGGACTGTATGGGCCTGCCCTTAAAGGCAGCCAGTGTACTGGAATGCTGTGCATTTGATTGTGTTGTGATCATACGGGGTTTTGACCGTTTCAGTGATTCATTTATTTAGCAGCTATTTATTGATTGTAGAGGATATGCCAGGCGCTGTTTTAGGCTTCAGGGACTGAGTAGTGCTGAAGACAGAAGACAGGTTTTGCCCACATGGAGTTTTCCATTCAAGGGAGGGAGGCATGCGGCATGTACATTCAGATTTGTTTCCAGAAGTAATTTTTGTCATACTCTTATTTCATTATAAGTTGGAAAGTTTTTTGTTTGCTAGAGCTAGCGTGTCAAGAGGAAGACGTTGCATCTTTTTCCTCTAACTGGACCTGTTAGTGAAACACTAGCCTTTCCACTGTGCTCACATCTGTTTTCTTCGTGGATGTATCTGAATCAGTAGTATGAGTTATAAGACAAAGGATGTTCTGGTGGGAGAGGCCTCGTCACAAAGAATTTAAGAGCAATTTTGTCTTCATTTTTTTTTTTTTTTTTAATGTTTACTTACTTTTGTGTGAGAGAGAGAGAGACAGAGTGTGAGCGGGGGAGGGGCAGAGAGAGAGGGAGACACAGAATCCGAAGCAGGTTCCAGGCTCCGAGCTGTCAGTACAGAGCCCAATGCGGGGCTAGAACTTGTGAATTGTGAGATTGTGACCTGAGCCGAAGTCAGACACTTAACTGACTGAGCCACCCAGGTGCCCCTCTTCATTCTTTATCTCAGTCCAAACTTGCTCATGGTTTGATCGATTCCATTTTGTTTTTTTTTTCTAGGCATTTCCGGAAGAAGTTCAATATTTATTTGGTTTCTGTCCCGGAACTTCTCTTTATGCTGTGCATCTTTGGATACCTTATATTTATGATCGTCTATAAGTGGCTGGTTTATTCGGCAGAAACCTCCAGAGTCGCTCCCAGCATTCTGATTGAATTTATTAACATGTTTTTATTCCCGGCTAGTGAAACGAATGGTCTTTACTCAGGGCAGGTAGGTAACGTTCTTTTCCACCCCCGTGAGCTTACAGGAAGTCCTGATGGTAGCCTTTTTGTTTTAAACAGTAGATGATTGAAGGGGCTTTCTGCAGGCCTCCCAGGAATGTAGGGGCTTTCCTGTTTCTTTGTATGTTGTCGCAAGAGCTCGTCACCCTGCTCTGAACACTGTGCTGGGGGCTCTGGGAAACACTCAGTAGCGGTCAAAACTGTGGGAAGAAAATGTATGGACTGGAGGGTTTCTGAGGACTGGCAAATCCCACCCACCCCGCCCCCTCCATTTTTCTAGTTGCTTTAAAATCAATCTCTGACTAAGCCAGGGCATCCCAGCACACTGACCCTCTCGCAAACTGGCTTTTCTAGAGTGGTATGTTTGGGTAACGCCCACCACATCCACGGTGGCGGGGTGAGGGCTCAGGGGTGACCGCCCTGCTTGCAATCCTAGCTCTGTCACTTCTTTGACGGGTAACTTTGAACACATACCTTGACTCCTCTGTGCCTCAGTTTCCTCACCTGTAAAATGGGAATAAAAATAGGACCCAATTTGTAGTCCAGAGTTAATCTGATCAAATACTTAGAAGTACCTGGCACCTACCAGTGCTCAATAAACGTGAGCTTGCGTTGTGATTACGGTGAGGGTCTCTGTGCTGTGTCGAGTGCCACAGTGTCACTCCTGAAGGACGCTGCTGTGGACCTTGCGTGTCGTGTTCCCAGTGTCTGTGAGACACCGGAGAAATCTTCTCAGTGCTGTCCTCACCTGTGTTCTCCTAAGCTCTAGGTGTTTTGTTCTTGTTTTTTTAATTTTGGTGACCCTGCAAATGGAGCGTTTAGTTTTGTTTTCCGCCTTCCACGGACAGCTCGGTTCACTGTAAGCCCGATTGGAAGCTCAGCTCGTGGAACCGTGGGCTTCGCTGTGAGCTGTGCACACGTGTCCTTCTTGAACTGTTTGAGCTTCACCTCTTACCTATGGTTCTCCTGTTTGTGATTTTTCTATTAGATTTTGTTGTTATTTTGTTCAACCTTTTTGTAGGATGACGTAGATTGTGGGAGAAAGGCACAATGGGAGTTCGGCGGCGCTCGGGTGCCGTGGCCGGGAAGATCACTGAAGGGCACTACCTTATTTAACGTCTCCGGTGTGCCTGAAAAGTGCTCCCCGTGATTATTCTTCTTAACTCACACTAGCCCTCGAGGTCGGTGGTGTCATCCCGGTGGCTCAGGGCAGGCCTGGTCACAACAGCTGCCGGCGGAGCCCAGATTTTAGCCCAGTCTGCTTGACCACACAGCTCACGACTTCTGATAGGACTCTGCCCGTGGCCGCCACGTTTCTCCGCATTTCGGGGCACATTCGTGTCGGTGGTGCGGTACGAGATGCTAACGCATACCTGCCACTGGCTCGTACCACGTGGTGCACGCGGCTCTGGGAATCTGTGCGTCACATGGGGGCGGCCGTAGAGGAAGGCTAGGCGGGGGACCGTGTGATGCCCGATCGTTTGTTTTCATTGCCGCCTCCAGGCCCTATAAAGCCACACAGACTGCAGTGGCTGTATAAGCGCGAATGTGCTTTGCTCTCGATTTCTTTTTATGTGACGGTAAATATCTGTACTTTAAAAAACATGTTTACTTATTAATTTTAGAGAGAGAGAGAGAGAGAGCACGAACAGGGGAGGGGCAGACAGAGAGGAAGATAGAGAATCACCAACGCAGAGCCCGACGCAGGGCTTGAACTCCCAAATTGTGAGAGCATGACCTGAGCGGAGATCAAGAGTTAGTGGCTCAACCCACCGAGCCACCCAGGTGCCCTTAAATATGCCGACTTTTGAAGAAAAGGCTTGTAGTTTTGTTCTGAATGCTCTTTTAGTATTTTTCTTGTGTAGAAGTGAATCCACTTACTATTACTTAGGTTCCTCAAGTAATCTTTGCAAAGGTAATAATAATAAAAACAAGAATATAAAAAAAATGTCTAGCCTTTGTTTGTATTCGTCCTCTTTCGGTGTTTTTAGGAAATGACGAGCTGGGGTTTGCCTCTGGTTTAGAATGTTCTTATTTATCCCTCACTGATCTGAACAGAGTGTTATTTTACCGCTCTGTCAGTGGTGTCACTCATCAGTTCTAGAATTCAGCTATGAGTTTGGGGAAAGACCTGCTGGCGAATACAATTCGGCTTTTGTGTTTACCTTCTGTTCCTTGTTATTGTAAATAAGGAGACATTCTCCTGGATTTTCGCTCACGAAACGCACCAGTGACCCGGCCAGCACGTCCTTTCATTTTAACGGGCTTCCTCCCCTTCCGCGTGACAGGAGCACGTCCAGAGGCTGCTGCTGGCCGTCACGGCGCTGTCCGTTCCCGTTCTCCTCTTGGGAAAACCACTCTTCTTGTGGTGGCTCCACAACGGGCGCAGCTGCTTTGGCGTGAGCCGGGTAAGTGTGAGTCCGGCCGCGTGTCCGGAGGTGCCTGGTTGTAGGTATAGAAGGAGACGTAAAGAAACACCTTTCAGAGGGTCTTGGGCTCTTGATGTGAAGCCGGCGCTCCCTCCATCCGGAAGCTCGGCGTCGCCTGTCCCGCAGAAGCTCGCTGCGGAGCCCGCCGTGCGGGCCCGTGGGCACGGGCCGTGCGGGGACGAACCAGGTCCTCCAGCACTGTTGTCATCGGCAAAGCGCTTTTTGTTCCTCCTCCTGGCTTCTTGACTTTTTTCTTTAAAGTGTCGTTTAATTTAAATAACCTCCCTCAATTATAGGAAACGTGGAACGCACAGGAAAGAGCGCCCTATCCGATCATGCGCTTATAACCAGGGTTACCATTTTGTTAGATTTCTTCCTAGACTGTTTTCCTGGGTGTCCACTTTCTCATTTGATTTCTTTAAAAATAATTGTGATAGACTATACTGTCACCTCCGTCCACGTCCACAACTTTCTCATCCTCCCAAATGGAGACTCTGTCCCCGTGAAACACTGACTCCCCATCTCTCCTCCCCCAGCCTCTCCAAACCACCATCTACTTTTGTTGTTAGGAGTTTCACTCCTCCAGGCACCTCGTATTCATGGACTCATGCAGTATTTGTCCTTTTGTGACTGGCTTATTTCACTGAGCATAATGTCCTCAAGGTTCGTCTGGATTGTAACAGAATCTCTTCCTTTTTAAGGCTCAGTAATGTTCCGTTGCATGGATAGATCAGATTTTGCTTATCAGTTCATCCATCGACGGGTACTTGGGTTGTTTCTACCTTTCAGTTATCGTGAATAATGCTACTTTCAGCACGGTGTATAAAAATCTTTCCGAGCCCTTTCAGATTTTTGGATATGTGCCCAGAAATGGAGTTGTGCGATCACATCCTAGGATTATTTTGAGGAACCACCGCACTGTTCTCCACAGTGGCTGCACCATTTTACATTCCTACCAACAGTACACAAAGGGTTCCACTTCCTCTAATCAATACTTACTATTGTCATTTTTTAGATAGTAGCCATCCTAACAGGTATGATATGCTTGCGTTCTCATAAACAACTTTCTAACCTCGAAGAGCCGCATCCTTAGGAGAAATGAAGGGGCTCTGACTGGATTTGTCAGGTCCTTGTGATTTTAAAGGCAATGACTCTGTATTCTTTTGGTTGTTGTTAGAGTGGTTACACACTCGTAAGGAAAGACAGCGAGGAAGAAGTTTCTCTACTGGGAAGCCAAGACATAGAAGAGGGAAATAACCAAATAGAAGATGGATATAGAGAAATGATGTGTGAAGAGGTAATCTTCTCTGTTACTGTCCATAACATTGGACAAGAAGCCAAGCTCTCGGGGTGCCTGGCTGGGTCAGTCGGTGGAGTGTGTGGCTCTTAATCTTCAGGTCATGAGTTCAGGCCTCACGTTGGGCATAGAGTTTACTTAAAACACAAAAAACAAACAAAAAAAAGCCTCAAAACCCAAAACGCCTGTTACAAAAGCTTCCCCAAATACTGTTTTGATTGTTGGCCATAAGGGTTTTGGCTTATCATTTTGTTTCAGTTTTACAGTGGGATTTCTACTGTTAACATTACATGCTGTCATATTAAGTGACTTAAGGTGCCATGAGCATTGCTTTCCAGAGATTCTTGTCTCAGTCAGAACTTTGTAGTTGTAAGAGGGAGACCTGATTACATTGGCTTCACAGGGAATCTTCTGGCTCACGTCAGGACAGGAGCAGAGTTGGCCTCAGGATGATTGGTTTCCGGGCATCCAATTCCGAGAAGTCTGGGTTGGTTTTCCTTTGCAAGTTTGCTTCATATTCTGAAGCCAGTTGGCCCCACGATTTTGGAACCTTGGCCACAGCCAGCCCTGAGCTTATTTTCTCCAGTCTTTCAGTCAGAGAGAAAAGCGCTCTCGGCTGATTGTTAGATTAGGAAGCATCCCAAGGAAGAACTGTGGTTGCCTGGCTGCAGTCCCTCGTCATCCCTGTTCCAACAACCGCTCCTGTCATCTGCACGGATGGCCATAACCACGGACGGGGTCTTCAGCAAGAGAAGTTTACTGCTAGAAGCCCAAGTTCAAGACGTTGGCAGGGCTGGTTTCTCCCCTGGCCTCCTTCTTGGCTTGTGGGGGCTGCCTTGTTCAACGTGTCATCACAGGGCCTTGCCCTCCGTGGGCATGTGTCTCTTCTTCTAAGGACACCCACACTCGTGACCTCTTTTAACCTTAATTACCCCTTAAAAGGCCCTGTCTCCAAGCACAGTCACGTTGGGGTTAGGCCTTCAATATGTGAATTTGGAGGGGGTCACGGTTCAGCCCGTAACGGCTGTGGCTGGGGGTGTGGGGTGAATGGCGGAAGAAGCACTTTCCCCCAAAGAAGGGTGGCACAGCCCTGGGCAGACAGAGCCAATTCCGCTACTCTGGTCGGCTTTATTTGCTTGGAAACTTTATTTGGCCATCCAGTAAGGGCCAAACAAAATTTCTGACGGTCAACATTTTGTAATTGTTACGTAATGTAGTGTTTTAATTTGGGATGATTGATAATTTATAGGATCATAAGAGAACCAAAAAGCAGAATGGGGAGGAGCGTTAGAGTCCTCTTTCCCAGTGTTTTACAGCCTTTTCACTGCCAGGGGCCCTTTTCACAGTCTCCCCTTGTTGGGCCTGCATTTATGCAGCAGACACGCACCTGTCTTCTGAAGACTTCAGAGTCTTCCAGGCTCGGGGTCGGTCAGCGTCTCTGGTTTCAGTAGGTGTTCCGTGGTCGCTGAGACCGGCCCCAGAGTCGCACTGGGCTGCCCCAGGGCTGTGACACGGGTGCCGCACGGGAAACTGAGGCCGGGGGAGCCGGGGCGGCGCGCTGTCTGTGACGGGGCAGTGAGTCGAGCTCAGGCCTTTGACTCGCTGCTCCTCACGCTCCTGCGCTGTCTCCCCAGCCTCCCAGAGGCCGGTCTTTCCACTGAGCGAGGGACGGAAAGCGGCCAGGCGTGGCAGTGGGTGGTCGCATGCGGGCAGTTTGGCGACTCTGACGCGTGTTGTGTGATCTCCCTCAGTTTAATTTTGGAGAGATACTGATGACCCAAGTGATTCATTCCATCGAGTACTGTCTGGGGTGCATCTCCAACACCGCTTCATACCTGAGGCTCTGGGCTCTCAGCCTGGCCCATGCACGTAAGTTTTTGCCGAGACCTGCGGTCCCACACTCTGTGCCGAGACGCCCCACCGTGCCGCGGTGAACCCGGGGGGGGCTCTGTGCTACATTTCACAATTCCGAGGGAAGCCTAGTGCTGTCCTTCGGGTACCGCGTGAGCCAGTATTGTGCGGGGACAGCCTCGCCCGTTTGTGTCAGCCCTCTCTGTCACGGGGAGGCAGGCCTCTGGGTTTTCTGGCGTGCCGTATCTTCCTCCGTGTTTGACGTGATCGCGAGCTGGCTGACTTTTACATGAGTTACGTGTAGATTATGTAGGTGTGTGGGTTATTTGTGGATACTAATTCAGAATTGTCAGAAGGAGACCCAGTCCCCCTGGCTAAGTGCAGCGACGCCGTGGACGTAAACAGAAGTTAACCCTGCCGAATGACTCCCCCGCAGAGCTGTCTGACGTCCTGTGGACCATGCTGGTGCGCGTGGGCCTCCGGGTAGACACCACTTACGGAGTCTTGCTGCTGCTACCAGTAATCGCTCTCTTTGCAGTGTTGACAATTTTCATCCTTTTGATCATGGAAGGCCTTTCTGCATTTCTCCATGCCATACGCCTCCACTGGTGAGTATGCAAGTTAGCTTTGGAACTGCTATTTAAAAAATATTGGACCCCTCTCCCCACGTGTATAAATAACCCCACAAAATGCCAGCACTTAATAACCGTGTATGTTTAATACTTTGAATTTATCTGGGGCCTGACAGGTTACCTCGTTGTAAAACAAAATAAAATTCTTCCGTATTTCGTGATGGTTTACAGCGTATGTCGGATTGCTTGTCTGTGTATGAAGGTACCCGGGTGGGGAGAGAGGTTCTGAATACTCGTGTGTACGCGTGTAGCGTGTGAGGGGTCATGACGGGTTCGCGTTTCCGTTACACGTCGAGGAGGGCGACACGGGCAGGCTGTGTGTGTGTCTGTGTGTATCTTATTTAAGTAATGACACGTGTGCCAAGAGAGCACGTACGGAATGAAGCAGCTTCAGCACAGGAGCTGTTTGGGGTTTTTTCTTAACTTATAAATGTTGTTGCAAGAAATGTAGGAAATGTTACAGTCTTTCGTTAATACACGGAAATTTTTTTGTTTTAGGGTAGAATTTCAGAACAAGTTCTACGTTGGTGCAGGCACCAAGTTTGTTCCTTTCTCATTCAGACTACTTTCGTCGAAGTTCAGTGACGACGTGGCATGATCATATTGCCGTATCCAAACAAGCTTTCGGATTTATGGAGAATTATCATGTTACAGAATTTCACTTCCGTCAAACTTACGATAGGAAAAATTCCGTCTTCATTGATTGCCTTATGATATAGCCAAATAATTCTGTAAGATAAACCTCTTCCTCATGTTAAATATTTTGTAACGCTTATCAATTTCAGATATGTAAATTTCTTTCAGTTTTTATGGTGAGCAAACTTAAGTTAATGCCAAAAGTTATGTTAAAGTTATTTTTAAAAATAGAGGCTTGGGGGGGAGAAGTGGTTTTGAATGGCTAGTTGAAAATGGTCTTAGTTACTCGAGTCCTTTTCACCTCATTAAAAAAAAAAAATTACAGCGTTATTCTGTCACTTGAAGTTGTCAGATAATATTTTCCAACAGCTGAAGTATAGTTTTTTAAAAAATTTAATGACGGATAATCAAAAGATTCGCATTTATTCTGCTTGATTAAAAGTATGTAAACATTTTGTATCGTATGCTGTCTAGAACTGCAAGTTAGGGGATTGTTTCTACAATTTTGTCTTGTTTTAATGATTGGAGAAAACGGGATAAAATAACATACGACAGATGGTTATCCCACTTGTATATTTTTAAAGATATTCTTACCCTCTTATCCTTATATAAAACCAATTATGACAAATGTACGTTGGAAAGATAAACTGTATACTGAGCCTTAAAACCCAGTGTGACCGTAAAAGATAAAATATGGATGTGATTTGAACTTAGGGACCAACTTGTATGATGTTACTGATGTTACCGAACCTTTTAGGGGTTTATACTGAGTGAAGGGAAGGTGAAAAGTAGTATTTTGTATATTTTTATAACAAAATATAAATTAAGATATTTTACCATGAAGAGATTGCACCTGTCCTTGAGAACAGTATAATTATAATTTTTTTTTTTTTTTACTTTCAGACTGATTGTAAATAAAGGTCTGGTAAAGGTATTTAGAGTTAATTTAAGCTTTCAAACACCATTTGGATCAGTTGAAAATTCTCTTTAATTTAAATTCATCTATTCACTTGACATTTAGCTTTGAAGGATTTTGAGTCCTGTTGAATGTTTTAATCTACGGAGACAGTCCCCACCTTACCAGTGGTTCCACTTAATGAATTTTGAATTAATGATGTTGTGAAAGCAATACACATTCCGTAGAAACCATACTTTCAGGGTTGAATCTGGATCCTGTCCGGGCCAGCGATCTGCGGCCCCATCCTCTCCCGCCATGCTGGGCAGAGGCCGCAGCTCCCAGACAGCCACGCGGTCGGGAGAGTCAACAGGTGGTACACGGACAGCCACCTGCGCCCACACGGCCGTTCAGTTTGGCACTTTCAGTACAGGATTCAGCCCATTACAGGAGATAGTCAATACTCCCTTATAAAATAGGCTTTGTGGTGGATGATTGTGCCCAACCGGAGGCTCCTGTCCGTGTTTGGAGCACGTCTAAGGCGGGCCAGGCTAGGCTGCGGTGTTCCCTAGGGTAGGTGTGTTAAATGCACGTTCAACTTAGGATGAGACCCCATCGTAAGTTGAGGACGATCTGTAGTTTTGTAAATTATGTTCATTTTTCATATTTTACTGTAATTGATGTTAGGTAATTATTTTCAAAAAGAAATCGGCAGTGTTTTCACTTAACGTTTTGAGGCAGGTGCATGAAAAGGCCTGTTTGTCACCATACACCTTCACCCTGCCTAGTGGGGGAGTTTGGAATTTTCATTTCAAGCTTGGGTTCTGGTAGCCCTGGATCTAAGCGTGTCTTTTCAGGTCAAGTTGAGACCTGTTTGCCGAGAGGCATGAACTGAACACGCTGACGTAATCGTGACGCTGACGTTAGACCTTAATTGTGTGGTAAGCCTTCCATGCTGCTCTTTCACGAATTGGGAGTTACTGGCCTTTGTCCCTCGTATTACAATATCAAGCTTCAAACCACGCGGATAAATCCTTGGGAGGTGATTCTGCTGTCAGAGTGCAGTTTCTCCGGAAAGGTCTAACGTTGGACACTTCTGTTGGGTGAATACAAACTCTGAACAGTGCTGTCCCTCACCACTGGCCATCTTCATTACTTTACGCCAAGGATCTGTTGTAATAAAATGGTAATTCATCCTTAGGAAACTCACGATTTCAGGGCACTGCTAGCCGATGAGTAAACAGGAGGCCTGTAGTGTCTGCTGGAATTTTTTAGTGCCCCCACTGGTAACTGTTATGGGCTGTTACAGAATTTTTCATTTTAAGTAACATCTCTCACCAGGGTATAGAACAGAGAGGAAAGAGTCCGTTTTTAATTGAGACCTATGTAGTGGTTATGTATTCTACATCATTGTATAAAAAATGAATTAGTAGTCCCAACTTTGGTGAAAGGCCTCTCTAGAAATAGAGCTTGATCGTGTCTTGTAGGCACTAGGGGAAATTTAATTTTTTTCCTAAAGCTGTAGGTTCCAGTGGCTGCTTTATGTTTAAACTTTATGCTTTGCTTTATGTTTAAGCTGTCTGGTGGAACTATTATGTATATCATTTTTGAGACAGACTTTGTTCCCTTAATAGCAAATATCTGGAGGAAGAATGGTCAATTGTCGGGATGAAGCTATGTATCTGTTTATTTTCCTCAAGAGAACACGTCATGATAAATGTCATGACGGCCATGTTTTCCAGTGTTCATTCAGGTGTTCATTCTGTGTGTTAATGGAGTCCTAAAATAAAAATCCAAGGCATTTCTTCAGGAAAACAACTTGATTTCATCCTGCAAGGGTAAAGAACGTCCTTGCGGTGACGTAATTATGATCAGTTAAAGAACTCAGGTGTCCTGATGGGGATCATGGTGAGCCCTGTGGACTGTCCATTCCTTGTGGGTAGGACTTTGAAAAGACACCCCTTTCACAGAATGCCTTTCTGTCCTCATTTCGGGAATGGGTACCTAATAACAACATTCTGTTCTCAGTTTCCAGTCTGCTGTAGCTTCAAAAGGCCTAGAGTATAGCATAGGTCGCTCTTAAGATGTTTATGAATTCAATATTCAGGCATTTTAGGGTCTGACTCATTTTGGAAAACAAAAACAGAACTGCTACAACTGTTCTGCAGTCTGCATTTGAAAACAGTAAATCTCTTCATTTAAAATTTTAAAGCCAAGTTTGCGTGCATGCCATCTGGTGTAATCTCCAGTAAGGTTATTAGGAAATCTTAATTCAAGATGATGAAAATCAGGCAGTTCTAAATAATAGTTTTCCAACAGCGAGGTCATGGAGGCCGGGCTTTGGTTTAGAATTGTAAGAAATACTTCAGAACATTCCACGTGTTCCTTGATGGGAAAATCCAACAAGAAGCCTAGGTTCTTGGTGTCAGCCTTGTCGTCCAGGGACTCATCTCCAGGAGGGGAGAGCAGTCACTAAGTTAAAGCTCCACAAATGCACGAAAGGACAACTTTGCATCTTCCTATCAGTATTGAACTTCTTTTTACTAATGAAAAATAAATATATTTTTAAAACATGGGTGTTTTGCTTTATTATGCCTTCACGTGTCTAGAAAGCTAAAGCCAGAAGTCGCCTGTCCCTTCTTGGGACTCCCTCTTCCCTGATCCGTGTGCCAGAGAGAACCCGCCCATTTCTGGAACTCTTCAAGGTACTTGCTTTCTGAGGCCCTTTAATCCACACTGGCGAGGGCGGGGGGGGGGGTGCTCAGACGATCAGTCCTGTCTCACCTCCTACTCTGCCTGGGCCATCTCTGAGGCAGTGCAACCTTGACCGGTCGCCTCGCTGGCCTCCTTCGGGGCAGAAGGGCGGGATGGTAGCCCGGGGTGATGAGGATCCTAGGAGGGGCTCCCTGGAGCCCGCAGTGGGGTGTCCCGGGCAACAGCAGCGGGCGGCTCCGGGCTGGACTCGTCCGTCCCCCCGAGTCGCGGGAGCATGCGTGCTGCCCGCTGCTCCGCTCGGCTCTCCGGCCGGCCGGAGCGGCGGGCCCGGATCCGGGGGGAGGCTGGGCGCCACCTGCGGGGGACGGGCCAGCGCCGCAGTGAGCGCGGGGGCCGGGGCGGGCGCGTCCCGGGACGCTGCCGACCCGCGCCTGCGGCGGCCGTTGCCGAGGCTCCCGTTGCCAGGGGCGCCGAAGCCGCGGACGCCGCCCGTCGCTGGGCTCCCAGGGCGCCGTCTGGCCCTTCGCGGCGCCATGGACGACCTGCGGGTGCTGTGGATGCGCGACCGCGTGTACACGGCCTTCGGCCTCACAGACCCCCACCTCTTCGAGGAGCTGCTGAACCGCGACGGTGGCGAGGTCGAGGACCTCATCCTGCACTTCCTCAACCAGACCAAGGACGAGGAGGGCGCCTTGACGCTGTTCTTCTACCGCAAGGTGGTGCCCGAGGAGGTGGAGGTGGAGATCGGTGAGCGCCCCGACTAGGCTTGGACTTTCTGCAGTTCCGCGGCTGCTTTCTGAGCCGCGTCCCCTGATACAGGCCTTAGCCCAGTGTCCCTCCCCGCCGCCGTCCCCACCGCCCCCCC